CCACGTCCGTGACGGCGCCGCCGTAGACCGCGGGGCCGTCGGTGTAGCCGTCGCCACCGACGCACTGACACGAGTCGGAGGTAGTTCCGGCACCGTAGTCGGGCTGGAGGTCCGCATGAGCTCCTCGTGCAAACGTTGCGCCTCTGTCTGTGCGGCACGCAGCGCACGCGCGCTAGCCTCCAACCACCAATCCGGCTAAATGTCTGGCACGTCGACCTTGTCTCCTCTGCAGCACGAAAATTCAATCCACTTGTACATTTTACACTTCACTGCGTAGGTGGTTGCGTCCACATTGTCGAGGTCGCAGCGGATCTGCCGTCGCGTTGGATCGGGCAGAAGGAAAAGCCACTCACGAACCACACGCATGCGATCACGTCGTCGGTCGCACCGCCTTGCAGCGGGACATCCGGCACGATCACGAGTGGATGGTGATCGGCTGTTGCGACGGGATGTAGATCGCTGCCAGTCCTATCACTTCTGGTGGGTGAGCGCCACGGCAGTGGCCCAGATTGGAGCGCCGCGATGAGAAACGGGATCGCGGCGGGGGCGGGGCGACCAGCCGCGACCCCCCGGACCACGCGAGTCGGAGCGCCCCCCGCGGCCGGGAGACGGCGAGCCTCGTCGCGACCAACGCGCGCCCCCCGGACTACGGGGGCAGCGCCGGCCCTTGCAGGGCGAAGGCTTCTGGCCCCCCGCATTTCGTGGGGAGGGCGTCCTCTTGCGGCCGTCTCGGCTGGAGGGCCGAACAGAGCTCCGATCAGGAGTCTCGGCGCCAGGGTCAATGTGCTCGTTGCGGCAATTGTTTCCATGCTCGCACGTCAACTTCGCGCCCGCATGGAAAGTACATGTCGGAATGCGTGGGCATTTACAACGATTTTGGAGTGGGCAGGGGCTGCCCGGGCTTATCCTCCTGCAGTGGGCCGGAAGACCAGCCGGCGGAAGGTCGTCTGTCGCGGGCGCCCCTGCCGCGGGTAGACGATCGCCGCGAAATCGCTGCGTGAGGCGGCTGCGAGACCCAGCGCAAAATATGTTGCCCGGTTTACCATTTTTGCACCGCCCTGACTTAAACGCTGCACAAATCACAGAGTCGCGTCGCCCGGATTCGTTATTGAGGCCGCGCCGGTTGCGCCCAAGTGGGTGTAGTTCGAGGTTGGCGAGAGCACGTTTTCGAAGCCACTCGTACGTTTTATTTGGGTCGTCGTGAAAATTGCTCCATGATCGCGCATGTCCTGCCTCATCAGGTAGCGTCGGCATTTCTGAGCTCGGAATAACGACTCGAGTATGCGCGCGTCGGGTGGTTCGCGGCATTCCAACAATAGATTGCCCCAATCCACGATAAGCCGTTGGAGGTCGACGTCCCGCATGCGCATCAGTTGCAGACGTTCAAAATCGTGCATTGTGTCGTCGACTGCAACAACATTGTAGGATTGTTACATCGTCCAGTAAATTTGTCTACCCTTCAGCATACGGCCAGCTTTATGTTCATGAGCTGTGAGGTTCTTGAAGCGGTAGCGAAGCTCGGAGTTGAGGGCTGCAGTCAGCCCAGCAGCGAATTTGCAGTCGACACTCTCGAAGTCCCCGCTGTCCTGGAGGTCCTCGTAGGTCGGGGCGGGTTGTTCTGCAGCGCCCGGGAATGCATCGGTTTTGGTAGGGCGCCCGGAAGCGCTACCAAAGCTGTTGCGACCCATATGTTGCCACTCTTGTAATTGTGTAATGCGCGGCGGTTGTGGCGCGCGTACTGTCTGATTCCTCAATTGGAATCGCATTGGCAGGTGAGACGCGTGACAACGTCTGCAATGGAACCGGCTGGGTCGGCGAGGGGGGTCGCACAGGGAAACGCGACGTGTCTGCGTAGAAGCCGCTGCGGAGGCGGCACCTGGCGAGGCACGTCGCGCGGGGCCTGCGCGGACGTCAACATCGGCACGCGTAGAGACTCGGTCCTTTCGACGGTTAGTAAGCGGACTTGGATGGCGTATCTGAGCGCTGCTCACGCAGGCTGTCAGCGTAGCTTCGTTGGTCGTGAGGTCGCGCTGCATCTTGTGAACACTCTGTTGAATGCCACGCACCTCATCGTTAGTGTCGCGGGTTCGCTGGGAGTACCTGTCCAGCCGTTGCTCCAAGTCCTGGACTCGTCGCTGGCATGCTTCGCGCTCGCGTCCCATCCGGGCGAGCGCTTCCTCTGCCCGTGAGTTAACGGCGTCTCTTTCACGGGAGATCTGGGCGAGTCGCAACTGCGCGCGGTCCGCTGCCATCTATACCTCGGCCATTCGGGCTTCGAGGGAGGCGAAATCGCACGCCGAAGTCGGGGTACCCAGCTGGCCGGTCTGGGCCCGCACAACACGCGACTCAGCCAGTGCACCCCTCATTTCAGGCAACTGCTGCTCGACCGTGGAGACTCGGCCCCCAAGCGTTGGCACGCGCCCCTCGGGAGCGCCAAGACGTCGAGCGAGGACAATCTCGTCACCACGCAGCTTGCCGTTCAACTCAGACGTGAGAGTGGTACGTTGGGAGTGTAGCGCGGCAGTGGTCATCTCGACCTGAGTACGAAGTGCGTTGATATCCTCGCGCCGCCATTGATCCGTGGGCCCATGCACCTCCACTGGTGGCGTCTGTTGGGCCGTCAGGAGCTCATGGTGTAAAGTCCTGATGGCGGCAGCCCCGCTGTCTCTGACGCTCGCAAGTTGGGCCTCTATCCGCAGGAGGTAGTCGTGGAGCGTCTGGATTGCGCTGGAGTCGGAACCTCGGCGTGACTCAGTCTGGCCAACTTGATACTGGACCCGAGTGAAGATCGAGCGATCTTCAGCGATCCGAGCGTCGACCAAAGCAAGAGCTCGTTGGAGCTCCTGTCCGAGGGTGGCTGTCCGCGCGGCCAGACCCAACAACTGTTGGGTCGTGCAAGTTTCAACATGGTCTCGAAGCCCAGCCACGTCACTGGCAGTGGGAGAAGCTTGCAAGACTATATCTCGCGGTCGGGAGCCATGCCGAGAGCGTCGCTGGGAGAAGCTACGGCTGGCGCGCCCCGAGTACGAGAGCGAATGTGATACCGTTCTGGAACTTTTCGCTGAGATGTCCGTCCAATAAGATTCTCTATGATTCGCACATAATCGGATACAGAAACGTTAGTGGGTGAGGTGACCTTAGCCCAGCGGCGGTCGCGTGTCTGGCGACACAGCCGCAGCGCTACCGCTGCGGGCGTTTCCACCGACGCCATTTGTATCAGCGAAGGTTGGAAGAGAGGAAGGAGGTGTGCGAACCCGGCCGTGGTTCCGAAGACAACTGCAGGTGTGCCCCCCAGCGCACACGATACGGGCGTATCAGGCGCCGCGGGAGGCGAATCCAGCCGTGGCTCGGAGGTCGTCGGCGCGTGAGCACGCGCGGGCGGCGGCGGCAACGGGGAATCAGGTAGGAGGTCTCCAAGCGCAGCCGCAAGCGAAGCGGTACTACCTTCTCCTGAAAGGGGGGGAACGGGTATCACAAACTCTCTCGCCCTCTCCACAGAGCCGTCGCGACCGCGCGCCGTCGAGGACGCCGCACGCTTAGAGGCACTGCGCCCCGAGGGGGGCAGCGCCATGCGGCGGGGTCAACGATGACGCGAGTCGCAACAGCGAAAAGCGAAAAAGAAGAGGCTGGTAACCTGTGAATATAGGGAGACGACCGACGGGTCGACCCTATACGGGTAACCGCAGGTAGAAGCAAACGAAGGAAGAGGTTCGGAGCAACTTGTCCTGGGCGTTGCGCGGAGGGCACCGCTCTGTGTCTGTGTATGCCAATACCTTGAGCCAATACAGTAGCGGTATATGACAAAATGATGGGGATACGAACGGACTTCACACACAGACGTGGGCACGGCCAACTCCAGACGTTGGGGCGGAGCACAGCAACGCCGAGGTCGGGAAAATCGGGGAGAGTCAAATGAAACAGAACTGCTATACACATACACCGACTCTGGCCAGGCCCATTCTGGAACCAGGATCGGTGCATAAGCCTTCGTGCGTTTGCCAGAGACGCATAAACACCGATCCTGGGCCCAGCATGGGCTTGGCCAGGAGCGGTGTATGTGCATACTTCTCTTCGCCCGAAGAGTGCCGGCCAAGGAAACTGGCCGCGACGAAGGACAACACAATGACTGGGGCCGTTCGGGAACAACACCAAAGAGAGCGCCCGCGACGCAGAGCAGCACCGACGCGGGTAACACCTCCGGGAACAGCCGGGGACACGGCTGGCCAAGCGTGCTGGGCACCGCCGAGAACGAAGACGCCCAAGGATAATCGGATACACGGCCAGCCGGAGAAATCGGCGGCAGCACAGGGCGACGGACCGCGAACGGCTGGACGTAAACCTCGGCTTAGTTGCCCAACATCGTGGCAACCATCTCTTCCCCCTGTGCGCTGTGTACCCTTCCTGTCACGAGAAGTCCTTTGCCGCAAGGACGCAGCGGGTTGCTTGACCTCCCAACGGACACCGCGTGCAGGTGCTCTGCCGTAGGCAAGGTGGTCTGCCGTGGGCAGGGTGTTCTGCCATAGGCAGGGCGTTCTGCCGTAGGCAGGGTGTTCTGTCGTAGCCAGGTGCTCTGCCGAAAGCAGTGTGTTCTGCCGTAGGCAGGTGCTCTGCCATAGGCAATGTCTGCTGCCGCAAGCAGGGTGCTCTGCCGTAGGCGGGGAAACACTCGTCCTCCCGCTCTTCCCCTGCAAAGTTCCTGCTCCTCCTCCTTCTCCTCCTCCTCCTCCTCCTCCTCCTCCTCCTCCTCCTCCACTTCCTCCTCCTCTTCCTCCTCCCCCTCCAGCTCCTCCTCCTCCTCTTCCTCCTATTCCTCCTCCTCCTCCTCCTCCTCCTCCTCCTCCGACTCTCCTTCCTCCTCCTCCTCCTCCTCCTCCTCCCTCCTCCTCCTCCTCCTCCTCCTCCTCCTCCTCGTTCCACCTACTCCCTGTTTTTTTTTCCCTCCATGTCCCCAACTTCCTCGCCATCACCCTGCTAACCCCTATCGTTCCCAAACGGTGGGCGCCTCGTGCCGCCAGACGCGCATGGGATCATGGAAGTCAAACGAGGTACGGAAGCTGTCAAGCTGCGGCTCGCCCTCCCGTTCTGACAGGGCCACAAGGTGCACGCGCTCCGCCTGCAGATGTTCCAGCGACCCCCGGGCATCGCGTACCTCCATACCCAGACTACCATTCTCTGCCCGCGCCCGCTCCACCGCATTCCACAGCCGAGCTGACTCCACCTCCAGCATGCGCCTGAGGTCTGGCACCCCGCGAACTTCCGACTCCCGCCTCGGATCAGGCGCGGGCGGCAAAGCGCCGTCCGTGCTTTCCGCGTGCTGAACGGCCTCTGCCACATCTGCCCTGGGCTGGTGCAGGTCGCATTCGTGGACCTCGGCTTCACTCGTGGACTCATCTGCAGGCTGACGGACACGAGCGGGCCGCAGTCGACCGCGCTTGCACCCAGACACGAATGCGCCTGGGATGCCGTGCAAAAGCTGGTGGTAGCTGTGTTCCAACTGCGCCCCCATGTCTTTGTCCAGCCGACGGCCGAAGGCTTCGGAGAGCGCTAATTTGAAGGCGTCTTGGTTACTATGTCCGCCTGCGTCTGAAATGGCTGCCATCACGACCACGTCCCGCATACACCGAGCTATGCGGGCAATAGCCTGCTTCCCCTCCCTGCGACACTGCCGTTGTGTAAGCAACGTGCGCTCGTAGGCAGTTGCAACAATGCTGGATGCCTTCAGGTCCCACGGGGAAACTATATCCGCCGACCCCTTCGGGTCATCGGCGTGTGAAATGTTTCCTCCCCCGGGGCCTGGTCCGGTCGGTTTGGAGGGGGGGTCCGGCCGGCCCCGGCTAAACCCGCCTTTGGCCTCACGACGGGCCATGACGGCCACAAGAGGCCCACAAGATGGTCCAAGAGGGCCCCGAGTCGCCGATGGATCGTTCCAAGACGCCCAATGTGGCCCCCAGAGGGACCAAGAGGCCCCCGAGACGCCCCAAGAGGCCCACAAGAGGCGCCCCAAGAGTGCCCCCGAAGCAAAAAACGTTCCATGTCCCATTCCCTTGGGCAAAAGCGTGTCTGTTTTAGCGCATTCGCCTCGTGAGCTTTCACAACGTCCAAGACGGCCCACAAGGCCTCCAAGATCGCCCCAGGACGGCCCAGGAAGCCCCCAAAGGTTCCAAGACGGCCCACGAGGGCCCCAAGACGGCCCAAGAAGCCCCCAAAACGGCTCCAGGAAAGGGCCCAAGGGGGGGACCCGAACGGAAACTTCGAGCTTTCGGCCCCAAAAAGCTTCCAGGAGGCCCCCAGGCTCCAAGAGGCCCACCAGAAGCCCAAAAGAGGCCCCAAGAGGCCCAAAAGAGGCCCCCAAAAAGCTTCATAAGTGCTGCCAGGAGGCCCCCGAGAGACCTACCAGGAGCCCCCCAAGGGGTCGGCGGCGCGGCCTAAGCCCAGGAATCAGACGTCACCGCGTTGAACAGCCAATCTCGCATGGACGGGCCTCCCTCGAACATGACCAAGTCGAGGTCCGCAAGCTCCCTCTGGGGGCAGAGGGCTGTGCACGCCATCACGGGGCCGCTGCTTTGCAAATATGTGGTACCCAGCGTGGACCCCAAACAGTGTGTTAGGGGGCGGCGGGGACGTCTGCAGTCTGCGAATTTCTGAAGAAGCCCGCTGCAGGCGCCCAGTTATTAACAAAATACACACCGAGCCCACCGCAGGCGCCTATTTTCTCGCTCAAACAATGTGGGTGGGCCGCGGGGTGGGTCGCGGGTGGGTCGCGGGGTGGGTCGCGGGTGGGTCGCGGGTGGGTCGCGGGTGGCTCGCGGGTGGGTCGCGGGCGGGGCCGCGGGTGGGTCGCGAGTGGGTCGCGGGCGGGTCGCGGGCGGGTCGCGGGGTGGGTCGCGGGTGGGTCGCGGGCTGGGCCACGGGGGGGACGACGCCAAACAACAACAACAACAACAACAACAACAACAACAACAACAACAACAACAACAACAACAACAACAACAACAACAACAACAACAAAACAACAACAACAACAACAACAACAACAACAACAACAACAACAACAACAACAACAACAACAACAACAACAACAACAACAACAACAACAACAACAACAACAACAACAACAACAACAACAACAACAACAACAACAACACAACAACAACAACAACAACAACAACAACAACAACAACAACAACAACAACAACAACAACAACAACAACAACAGCAACAGCAACAGCAACAGCAACAGACACAGCAACAGCACACAATCTTTGAGACTGTTCGCCCTATCTGCTCGAAGGGTCTAAAAAGAAAAAAAAATCCAATAACGCGTCGTTCCCATTCCCCAACCTCGATACCCGCCCTCTTCGTTTTCGATCGCACCCCTTTTGAGTTGTATAGTTTTCTTCCCTGCAGGCCGGGCCCCGGCAAGCGGCGGGGTGGTCGCGGACCGTCGGCCTGGCCAGCGGCAGCGCTAATCGGCCGGGGCGGCGCGGACCGTCCGACCCGGCCCAATAGGGCGGACAGGGGACCGACCACGACGACGACGACCGACGACGACGACGAGACGACGGCGAGACGGCGCGACGACGGAACGACTGCGACAATCTGATCAGGTTACATGACGTCGTCGTCCGAGAGAGAACGACAGCAGAGCCACGAAGGGCACAAAGCAGGCCACGAAGGGCGACAGCGGGGACACGAAGGGAATGCGTATGGGACCACGAAAGGCGCGAACGAGCGTGGGCCACGAAGGGCAGATACTGCGGGGCCACAAAAGGCAACGATGGGGCCACTGAGGGTAGCACCTGGGCCACGTAGGACAATGAGGGGGCCACAAACGGCGACAGCAGGGCCACGAAGGGCATGCACATGGGACCACAACGGGCGCGAACGAGCGGGGGCCACGAAGGGCATGCGTATATGGGGCCGCGGAGGGTAATGACGGGGCCACTGAGGGCAGCAACGGGGACACGAAGGGCAGCGAGGGGGCCACGACACGAAGGGCATGCATATGGGGCCACCACGGGCGCGAACGAACGGGGGCCACGAAGGGCATACATATATGGGGCCACGAAACAAAGCGAGGGGGCCACGAAGGGCAGCGAGGGGGCCACGCAGGGCAGCGAGGGGGCCACGAAGGGCTGCAACGGGGCCACGAAGGGCTGCAACGAGGCCACGAAGGGCAGCGAGGGGGCCACGAAGGGCTGCAACGCGGCCACGAAACAAAGCGAGGGGGCCACGAAGGGCTGCAACGGGGCCACGAAGGGCAACGATGAGGCCACGGGGGCTGCAGGACGGGGCCACGAAACAAAGCGAGGGGGCCACGAAGGGCTGCAACGGGGCCACGAAACAAAGCGAGGGGGCCACGAAGGGCAGCGAGGGGGCCACGAAGGGCAGCGAGGAGGCAACGAAGGCCTGCAACGGGGCCACGAAACAAAGCGAGGGGGCCACGAAGGGCTGCAACGGGGCCACGAAGGGCAGCGAGATCCCGATTCCTAAGTAATGTGTGAAGGAGTCCTAAGCGTGAGCGCGACTCCTGGGTGCCTGGGTGTCGGGAGCGCGGCGCTTGAGTAAAGTGCAAGAAATTCCCACGCAAGGGCGCTATTCATTCAGCAAATTGCAAGCAAGTCTCCAGCGAGAGCGCGACTCCAGCGGCGCGATTCCTCAATAAATCGCAAAGAAGTCCCAAGCGAGAGCGCGAGTCTTGAATACAATGCGAAGAAGTCTCGGGCGGGAGCCGTTGTTGATGTAACCCGGGGGCCAGGGGGCCAGTTTGAGCAGGAAGACTTCCCTTCACAAAAAACAAGCTGCGAGCCCTGGGGGGGGCACTTCAATTGAAAAAATGTATGCGCACCGGTGGGGGGAAATCAACCATAATTCTTCTTCGAGAGTGAGGGTTCAACAACAACAACAACAACAACAACAACAACAACAACAACAACAACAGCAGCAGCAGCAGCAGCAACAGCAACAGCAACACCAACAGCAACAGCAACAGCAACAGCAATAACAACAATCATGTTAAGACTGTTCGCCCTTATCTGCTCGGGTGTCGAGTAACGCGAATTTCCCAAACCCTCGATACCGCCCTTTTCGTCTTCGATCAAACCCCTTTTGGGGGGTATACCTTTCCCCTGGCAAGTGGCGGGGCGGCCGCGGACCGTCGGCCTGGCCAGCGGCAGCGCTGATCGGCGGGGCGGCCGCGGACCGTCGATCCGACCCCACGAGGGACGGACAGGGGACCGACCACGACGACGACGACGACGACGACGACGACGACGACGACGACGACGACGACGTCGACGACGACGGCAACGACGGCGACGGCGACGACGACGACGAGCGAAAGCGAGAGCGAGAGAGAACGACAGCAGGGCCACGAAGGACACGAAGAAGGACACGAAGGGAATGCGTATGGGGCCACGATGAGCGCGAACGAGCGGGGGCCACGAAGGGCAGATAATGCGGGGCCACAATAGGCAACGATGGGGCCAATGAGGGTAGCACCTGGGCCACGTAGGACTATGAGGGGCCAGAAACGGCGACAGCGGGGCCACGAAGGGCATGCACATGGGGCCACAACGGGCGCGAACAAGCGAGGGCCACGAAGGGCATACGTATGTTGGGCCGCGGAGGGTAAGGACGGGGCAGCAACGAGGACACGAAGGGCAGCGAGGGGGCCACGAAGGGCGACAGCGGGGCCACGAAGGGCATGCATATGGCATGGGGCCACCACGGGCGCGAACGAGCGGGGGCCACGAAGGGCATACATATATGGGGCCACAAAACAAAGCGAGGGGGCCACGAATGGCTGCAACGGGGCCACGAAGGGCAGCGAGGGGGCCACGAAGGGCTGCAACGGGACCACGAAGGGCTGGAACGGGGCCACGAAGGGCAGCGAGGGGGCCACGAAGGGCTGCAACGGGGCCACGAAAAAAAACGAGGGGGCCACGAAGGGCTACAACGGGGCCACGAAGGGCAGCGAGGAGGCCACGAGGGGCTGCAACGGGGCCACGAAACAAAGCGAGGGGGCAACGAAGGGCTGCAACGGGGCCACGAAATAAAGCGATGGGGCCACGAAGGGCTGCAACGGGGCGCGATTCCTGAATAAATCGTAAGGAACTCCAAAGCGAGAGCGCGATTCTTGAATAAAATGCGCATGATGCACCTGTGGGGGGGTCAACAATAATTATTCTTCAGAAGTGAGAACTCAACAGCAACAACAACAACAACAACAACAGCAACAACAACAACAACAACAACAACAACAACTTAAGACCGTTCGCCCTTATATGCTCGAGTGTCCAATAACGCGTATTTCCCACACCCTCGATACCCGCCCTCTTCGTCTTCGATCGAGCCCCTTTTGGGGGGTATACCTTTCTTCCCTGCAGGCCGGGCCCCGGCAAGCGGCGGGGCGGCCGCGGACCGTCGGCCTGGCCAGCGGCAGCGCTGATCGGCGGGGCGGCCGCGGACCGTCGACCCGATCCCAAGAGGAACGGACAGGGGACCGACCACGACGACGACGACGACGACGACGACGACGACGACGACGACGTCGAAGACGACGGCGACGACGACGACGACGACGGCGGCGACGAGGACAGCAGGGCCACGAAGGGCACGAAGTAGGCCACGTAGGGCGATAGCGGGGACACGAAGGGAATGCGTATGGGGCCACGAAAAGCGCGAACGAGCGGGGGCCACGAAGCGCAGATAATGCGGGGCCACAGAAGGCAACTATGGGGCCAATGAAGGTAGCAACTGGGCCACGTGGGACAGTGAGGGGAACACAAATGGCGACAGCGGGGCCACGAAGGGCATGCACATGGGGCCACACAACGGGCGCGACTCCCGGGTGCCTGGGTGTCGGGAGCGCGGCGCTTGGGCAAATTGCAGGAAATTCCAACGCAAGGCCATTCTTCAGTAATTTGCAAGCATGTGTCCAGCGAGAGCGCGACTCCAGAGCGCCGGGAAAGCGATTCCTGAATAAATTGCAAGGACGTCCCAAGCGAGAGCGCGATTCCTGAATATAATGCGAGGAAGTCTCGGGCGGGAGCGGGGGTCCTGGCTAAATTGCAAGGAAGTCTCAGGCGGGAGCCGTTGTTGTTGTAACCCGGGGGCCAGGGGCCCAGTTTGAGCATCAAGACTTTCCCTGACAACGAACAGGGTGCGAGCGTCGAGGGGCATACTTTGATTAAGAAAAAACAGTATACACCGGTGGGGGGATCAACAATAATTATTCTTCACAAATGAGAATTCAACACTAACAACAATCATTTTAAGAATGTTCGCCCTTATCTCTCGAGTCTCCAATACCGCCTATTCCCCAAACCCTCGATACCCGCCCTCTTCTTCTTCGATCGAACCCCTTTGGGGGGTATACCTTTCTTCCCTGCAGGCCGGGCCCCAGCAAGCGGCGTGGCGGCCGCGGACCGTCGGCCTGGCCAGCGGCAGCGCTGATCGACGGGGCGGCCGCGGACCGTCGACCCGACCCCCAGAATGACGGACAGGGGACCGA